AAGCACTCGCCTGAATGCGCTGATACCTGCTGAAACTCAAGTCATGCATGGCCCGCAGGAAGTTATGCGGACAGTATGAGACAAATCGCTGCCCACGCCGTCTTGGGTACATTGCAGTAGAGTTTTGGGGTATGTTATACTATACCTACAGCAAGGAACCCCCGAAACAGCATTTTGGCCCCTATATTATTTGTGGTATAGTAGAGGGCTCTAGGTAGATCATCGCGATTGTACATCGGTCTGCTTGGTTTCTTGGCTGACTTCTGATGGGAGGCCAAAAGCGGGTTTAAGATTCTTGGGGTAGGGATTCCTGAATATGAACGCTATTATGTGAACCCTGATCCCTACAAAAAACCCCATAGGCTAAAACCCCCTTTGGCCTCCTATGATACCCTTGTAGATCCCTTTAAAGGAACCCCTATAGATCCCTTTCAAGGAACCCTACGGATCCCTAGCCCCCATAGGCTAAAACCCCTTTTGGCCTCCTATGAACTTCTGGACCGCTCCTGACAGTTAAACTTTTGCCCCACTCATTCTGGTGTAGGGCCTAGGGTTTCGGGAGGGTTTAGGGTTTAGTGGTTTAGGGGTTTAGGGTTTAGGGGTTTAGGGTTTAGGGTTTAGGGTTTATGGTGTAGGGTTTAGGTACGGCCCCCATACAGTAAGAGTCTATAATAGGGCTACTATTAAGGTCCTCCTATATACCTATATTATGAATACTATTCAACTATTACTGAGTGGGGCCCGTACCTAAGGTGTAGGGTTTAGGGTTTCGGGACGGTTCGTATAGAAACCCAAAAAGTTAAAGTCCTAAGAAGAGGCCAGAAAAAAAGGCCAAGGTTTGATGTTGATGGTGCCGATCCTTCTGTCTAGCATTAGTTGGAGTTGCTGATACCAACGCCCAAAAGCAGAAGTAGTATGGAATCAAGGGCTTGTAATGCCACTCGACTCCGCCAACGTCCCATAATACACTGCCTTATGAAACCTTATCCACCATTCCCGGGGCTCCAAGTACGTAAATTGCAGCTCACTAGCCAGACAAAATGTACTAACTGGAGCGCTAGGTTTATACCAGAATGCAAGACTCCTTAAAAGAGACTGTAGAACCCTTTTAATAACCTTGTCATAACCCTAATACTACTGCTATAACGTTAAACCAGCCCTATGATGACCTTCTAAGTAAGCCAGTTCCGACGTGCTCCTTAACCCTAAACCCTACATGCAAGACTCCTTAAACGTGACCATCCTTAACCCTCTACCCTATTAACTATTGGCTTCAGCTAGGTCCGACCTGTGCCTACACTCCTCCATGCAATTAAGGCGGCCTTAATGATTCGAATAAGGCTTCTTTTGAGAGGGGCTTAGAAGGGTTACCTTAAGGGGTATTATGGGGGTTGAGTAGAGGGGCCTTACTAGTTAGTTAGAATATATAAGGTCTTGGGGTATATTCTTCTACTCCAGATAAAATACCCAGAGGGTCCAAGTACCCAAACAGTAGGGTGTTAGGTCTGAAATCCATACTCCGAATGGTTTTTGGACCTTGAAACCCACCCATTTGGGCACTTGGACCCTGAAGGATACGGACCCCCCAAAATGGTCTCGGAACTTCGAGGCTCAAGGGGAGATATGGGGGATGATCACAGCTCTGGGAACTTTTTGGACCTGTATTGTAATATAGTCCTTATAGTCTGGGCAGGAACGGTTTATGTAAAATAGCAACACCCAGCAGCACAATCATAGCAGCAGTAATGCTAATGCTAATGTGCTCTTGTGCATGACATCTGGGGAGCATGCGCGGACAGCGGCTGAACAAACTGATACAAGCGCAGTGCTTGGTCGGTCTCGGCAACATGTAGCGGCGAATGGTAGCAGCTGCTCCAAGCAGAAAACGATGACCTCCGACCTACTCGACTATGTGAGCCCGACCCCTACTCTAAACCCTAACCCCAACCCCAAAGCCTAACCCTAAGCCTGAAATCTAGATACCCCCACACACACTAAGCCCCAACGCTTGAATCTAGAAACCCGATCCCACTAAGGTCCCGACGTCCTTGACTTTCAAGCTGGTAAGACAACTCTTCTTATCAAGAATTTCACTAGTACTACTTTTACCATTTCTACTTTTATTGCGACTGATACAGAATATTTCATAACGTCTAAGCGATCTAAAGAGTGCAGATGCCAAACCACTCCACAAATCAAAAGAAAACTGAACCTACAGTTTTTGTGCAGCACCTGGGGATTTCACCAGGCGTTCCTACTCCTCTGCCTTGCGTTCTGTCGTCATATGCATTTGTATGGCTGGGCTGTACTGTACTCGAGCTTTAAGCTGCGTGAGGGTGTCCGAGCTGAACTGTTCTGCCTCAACCCTAAAACCCTACCTGCAGGTTATCAGGACCATGATGTAACAACTCTCTGGCTTCTAATTAGACTAGAGGACTTGCGACCGCGGCGTAGCTTGAGGGCTTAGATCCTGGTTTGGGTTTAGGGTTAACTGTTGAGGGTTTAAGAGTAAGGGTGGAGCGTTTGCGACCGCGCAAAGGCTTGAAGCTGTTCGTTATTCAGACGTACACGACGCTGGTCTTCAATGAGTCTGCACTGAATCGCAGTTGTCAGCACCCTAAACCCTAAACCATAAGCCATAACTCTTCAGCCTGTAATCATATTCCGGCTATGACATCTGTTAGGTTCGTCAGCAGCACCACACTTCAAGTTGTCCGAGTATGCCAACGTTTCGTGAGGCTAGGTCAGCTTCAGAGGTCTTAGCTTCGGGAAGGTGATTACTCTTTATTCGGGCCTGTGTATTACTCCATGCTGCAGTTCAATATAGGGACCTCAATAATTAAAAGGTTTTGGGGAAATAATACTACAGTTATAATAAGGAGGCCCCCGCAATACTACATCTGATCATGAACGCCGCTAGGTAAGCCTGAGCCTAAACACTAAAATCCAACTCGAAACGTTGTTCATCAACCCTCTAGGGTAGTTATATATTAACCTGAACCAGTTCTGCAGCCATTTGCAAGATTACCAGTCGCCCAGAATTGCAGGCGGCCGACCAATGCCACCAGCGAAACACCTGCTTCGATTCTGACAATTAGAATTTGGCTTCAGCAGCAATATACTAGAATGTAGGGTTTCCATGTTAGGAAGCACCATCATGATTTGGGAAAGTATCTGCTTAAAGGGGCCTTCCAAGGAATCATAAAGCCTAAACGCTAAACTTAAACACTAAAAGGGGCCATTTCTGTAAAAACCCTGGACCCTGATAACTTACTATGAACTTCTATAGTATGGCATCTCACCCGTAAGCCCCTTCAAGGCTTCATTTGGTCTCAAACCCCAAGACCCCAAAACCGTCAAAACCACAGACCCCCAAACCCTCAAACAGTTAGGGTTCTTGTCGCCCTCAAGTTAAACCCTGAAGCCTAACATCCTATAACCTTAAACAAGCCCTGAACCTATATATATATATATATATATATATATAGAACCCTTGAAGGGATCCTTGTTGAATTTTAGTGGGGTGCAAATTGTCTCTCAACCTCTCAGCTTAGGTTCAGGGTGCCGAGGCTTGGGGTTTCGCAGCCCCAGATCCTACTTGGAGGGGCAGGGGACTTAGTAAGTAGGTAATAACAGAAGGGATCCTTAAAGGGACCTCTAAGGGGTTATAGGGGGATCTCTAAAGGAGGGGCAGGGGACTTAGTAAGTAGGTTACAAGTAGGGTTATAATTGGGGATGTACGGTACTTATAACTCTACTTATCACCTACTTACTAAGCCCCCTGCCCCTCCAAGTAGACCCTAAAGCCTAAACCCCATAGGTTCCTTAAAGGGACCCTATAGATCCCTTTGAGGAGCCCTTTAAGAGCCCTTACTAAGTCCCCTGCCCCTCCAAGTAGCCTGAAGATCGACGGCACCCGGGTGGATGTGCATGGAGGAAGAACGATATATTAAATTTGAGAAAAGCCAATGCCAAGACTTACCGGAAATGATTAAGCTAGCAGCGGTTGAGGTTCCGGAGGTCGCCGATTGCCACCTTGACCTTGTCCTTGATGCTCAAGGACTTGAAGTCGCCATCCACACTTTCCTTCACATTTCATGAGGTTTTCCTCTCCAAGGCTTCGGATCTCTCCAAACTGTTGGTAATCCGCTGCCCGCCGCTCTTGCCTTCGAACCAGTACTTCTTTTCGCCCTTTATCGACAAGAAGGCTTCTTGCGGACTCTTGAGGTCCCACTGGTCCTCGCTGGACTCGAAGTCGGCAGCTTAAGAAACCTTGCAATGGGCCTTGCTTAGGGTTCTAATTGGCTCCTTTAAAGAGTACTATAAGGGTACTATAAGGGATTTGGCGGTTATGGTAGAAAGCTTGGGCCTTAATTAGGGTTCTACAAGAGTTCCTGTAAAGCGTACTATAAGGTTTTGGGGGGTTTGATGTAGGAACCTGGTTAAGAAACCTTGGGTCTTTATTTGGGTTCCTTATATATGAATCCTACTGTTTTGGGGTTAATTAAATTATGGGCCCAGGGTTACTTAATCAGGTTCCTACATTACATTCCCGGGTATAGGGTCTGGGGTTTCCCGTCTTTTGTACTTATGTACATGTGTACATAGTTTTTGCAAAACTCGCAGGCAAAAAGACACGTAGCATGCTAGCAACTCACCAGCGCAGAGATTAGCATGATCTAGTTAACCTTCGGGATTATTTGGATAGTTCTCCAAATTCGGGTTCCTTTTTTCTCCCAGAAATAACGATTAATCGCTAAACCTTCAAGAAGCTTCCAAAGCTAGCTATACTTTACGGTGCATTAATCTACTAAAATTATACCATGCTATACTATACCATGCAATACTATGGTATACACTACCTCAACCCGCCAGAACCTACTTTTGTAGGTTCCCAATAAAACCCATATTAGGGCTTGCAGTAAGAGCCTACAAAAAAGTAGGTTCTGAGTAGTAACACTATTAGATCCGCAGCCCTCAAGAACGCGCCTGGAGAAGGATCACTGAGCTGGCGCAGGGGGAGCTGCCTGAGCCTCCCCAAGCTCTGCTTCAGGGCTTAGGGTTTAAAGGTTTAGGGTTTTAATTTAGGAGCTTAGGGTTTAAGGTTTGGGGTTCAGGGTTTAGGGTTTAGGGTTCAGGGTTTAGGGTTCAGGGTTTTAGGGCTTATAGGGTTCAGGGCCTAGGGTTTGGGGTTTAGGTTTAGCTTGGAATATCTGCAACTTAACCGGGCTTGAAGGCCCTGAATCGTAAGTGCTACAGCACAAAAACCCTTACATAACACCAAGAGTACGCATTTTAAACGCCTGAAGGAACTCTAAGCCCTGGACACTACGACCACCATCTCTCTTCGCTTGTAAACTCCCTTTCAATATTCAAGATCTCGACCTTCAGGATTTCGGGGCTTATGGCTTTAAAGGATCAGGGCTACGGATTCGGATTTAAGGCACCTTTGACGAGGGTTCTTTTGGGGGTTCTAAGGGTACTAAGGAGCGTTTGGGCTTAAGGTTTACATGGACCTTTACAGTTTCGACCATTACGTCACCTACTTTTGGGGGTTTAGGTAGGGTTCAGAAAGCCTCATAGAACAACCCCGAGCACCCTTTCTGAACCTGCACAACACGAGAACCATTACTATAGGTAGTCCCAAACCATTATACGAACCCCACCCTGCTGAACACCTATAGAAAGCTCTACGCCGCATCAGAAAATTAGTATAAGTTTTGCCCGCCCCCTAGCCCTAAACAATGAAGCTGTAAACTTCAATCCTTAAAGCCTCAGCCCTCCCGCTTTGGTCGCTCCCCCGTTGCGTGGGCCTGTTGTGCCTTCTGTGCCACCTGAGAAGTGTCCCGGGGGGGTCCCAACAACAACGGGAAGGGACAAGTTCAGGGCTGAGAGTTCAGGGTTTAGAGTTTAATTACAGGTTTAGGGTTGAGGGTTTCAGGGTTTGGATTTCAGGATTTGAAGTGCGGTATTTAAGGCTGGGGTTTTAGACTCCTGAAGCCGATAACGTTGCAGAAAGGCACTAAATAAGCTTTCTGCAAACATGACCTTACGGTCTTATAGAGTTTTGTGTAGGGGCTGGTCAGGAGTAAATAATGTAATGCAGGTTCTATATGCTTTCGATAAGTGCTGAGCAATTCAAACTTCCTGGTTGTTGTCTGCTACAGGAGATACCAGTTGTTCCCACTATTAACCTAAAGGCTCCATGTCCCCACATAGTAGGTACTTAGGCCTTAAAGTGCCCAGATAGGGACCCCTTTAAGGCCTAAGCACCTACTATATGGGCACGTGGAGCCTTAGGGTAAATAGCTTTGGCTATTTGGGGTTCTCACTATATGGGTAATGCGTGTTCACAGCCGGGTCAGGGGTATACAGGTGCCACAAAGTCTTTTGATGCCGTTTCCAAACTTCCAAACTATAGAGTCTTAGGAATTCCGGAAGATGCCACAAAGCTCACTTGTGTCAGGAGTCTACGAGGAAGAAGGTGGGGGCACGGGTAGCGTACGTTGCCCAAGCTAGGGCACCAGCATGCTTTCTCGAGCCGGCCACCATGCGGGCAGTTACAACCTAGAGACAACCTAGAGGCTCCATACACAGTACCATTATGGAATTAGGTCCCCACAGACCATCCACATTATGGTTTGGGGGACCTACTTCCATAATGGTACTATATATGGAGGTTGTGGGTAAGTTACATTTGAGCACGTCGCGGGGAAACAATCAATCAGACATGTGCCGTGAAAGCGAGCACGCCCCCCGATGTGCAGGCGCTTTTTCGAGGGTCCTCTCGATCTAGATGGTGAATCTGCGCATGAGGTGCACTGCAAGAGTCGCAAAAGTGTATGAGTTCGGCGACACAAGTGCACAGGACGTCAGGGGTCTACATTAACCCCAAACCCTATCAGTGTCTTCATGAATAAATCCCAAACTCCAAATCCTAAACACTAAAGCCATAAAGCCCTAAACCCCAAACTCTACACGCCTAAACTCCTAAAGACTAAATCCTGAATCCCCAAACCCTATACTAGGTTGGCCCTTTTTAAAGCCTCGGCAAAATATTCGTAAACAGTATCCTCCTAAGCCCCAAAAGGGAAATGTCAAATGTCCCAAAGGCCTACCTAGTATAAAGACCCAATTCTGCAGGGGTAGTCTGGGAGTTTTGGTATGAAGCGACCAATCCCAGAGGGGACTCCCTGCCTGCTTTCAAGATGCCCAGGGAATAAAAGGATTTGGGTTTAGGGTTTAAGGTTTAGGGTTTCGGATTTAGGATTCGGGATTTAGGGTTAGGGTTTAAGGTTTAGGGTTTAGAAATTGGGGTTTCGGGTTAGTCGAAGATTAGTGAGGAGTCCCTATTAGGGTTTAGGGCTCCTGGTTTAGGCTTAACCTGTTTAACTAAAAAGCTTTGGAGCCTCTGCAACCAACTGTTGTTGAGTCCCTTCTGCTTCCCTCCCAGTATCTCAGTGAGGACACATCCAAGGTTCTGGGCATATGAACGACTAGACCTAAGAGTAACCTAGGAATGAAAAGGGTGCCCTTTTTGGAGTGAAGGGGCTTATAAGGGAACCTAAACCCTAAAAAAAGGAATAAGGGCCTACTCTGCGTCCTAGACAAATAAAAATGCCAGGTTGCAGCTTGGTAGATCCTCAAGGTACATGTTGGTGTCGCTCAACCCCAGCTATACTCCCTAAACCCTGAACCCTTAGCATTTAAAACTCGGACCCGGCAGAAACAATCGTAAGCAGAAGCACCACACCGCCAAAAGCCTATAAATTCCCAGGAACCAATAAACGCATACACCCCCTGAGCAACTAAATTCAAAAATTTTTGAGTGGCCCTAAACCTAAACCCCTGAACCCCTAAACTCTACTTGGAGGGGCAGGGGACTTAGGTTATAATTGGGGTTATATACGTCCCCTAAGTGATTATAACCTACTTATAACCTTATTTACTAAGTCCCCTGCCCCTCCCAGTAGAGTTTAGGGGTTCAGGGGTTTAGGTTCTGAACCACTAAATTCCAATTTTTGAGTGGTCCTAAACCCAAACCCCTCACCCGCTAAGGCCCTAAAACCCTAAACTCTATACCCTGAACTCGCCCCTCCAAGTATACCCAAAACCCCCATAGATCCCTTTGAAGGAACCCTATAGATCCCTTTAAGGAGCCCTTTAAGAAAACCCCTAAACTCGAAAAGCACCAGGTCTTCTCAGCTCAAGCGACAGGGAGGAAGAGCTTGAACTCAGGAGGGAGCTCCTCCTGGGATTTAGAGCCCGGGGTCTAAGAAAGGCGTCCTTAATTAGAAGAACAGGGTCCTTTATAGGCTTCCCTAAAGGGCCTATAAGGTATACTATGGGGTTACCATAAGGGATCTATATGGGTGCTATAATATAGGGGCCTTAATAATGTGAATAGAGTTTTGGGGCCCATTACACTGTAAATCCAAGAAGGAACACCCAAAATAGTATTGGTAATTGCTTAGGCCCCTATAGTAAGAGGATTCTGTGCTCAGGGAGGTTCATCCCTTATTAAACCCTAAGCTCGAAACCGCGTTTTAGGGCGCGAGGGGTTTAGGGTTTGGAGGACTTTGGGTTAAGGGTGTTTGGCACCCTAAACCCTAAACCTTACGGTGTTTGGTGTTTCGGGGCTTTTGTTCCCTAAAGCCTTTGCGCCAGGCCATGGTTGGGTTCGGGTTTGAGACTTTCAGGGGTTTAGAGAATAAGCCTTCTAGGAACCCTGATAGGGACCCTTAAAGAGCGTTTAAACCCTAAACCCTAAACCGTGGTCTTGGGGTGCTCCGGGGATTGAGGCTTGCGGTGTAGAGTGTGTGGGGCTTCGGTTTGTCGGTCTCGGGCTGGTGGCTGAAGCTTCAGGGCCACCGTTTAGGGTTTCGGGTTCAAGGGTTTTGGGTTGAGGGTTTCAGGGTTTAGGGTTTAACGGTTTAACGGTTTAGGGGAATCCTACACCACGCTGCACCATAATGTAAGCCCTACACCGTCATTCCACCCCCTTGCTCCTACTACCAAGATCTTGCACCCGCTGATGCCCCAGTTGTTTTGGGGTGTGTTATCGCATCGATATATGGGTGGTTGTCAAAATTAGGGTCCCTGTTTGAGTCCTTAATATAATACGGCACCTATAATTTAGGGTACCCAAAAAGGGACCATAGATTTGACAACCACCCGTATATGCACTTCGAGAAATGAAACTATCAACTATCATGGCCACTCTTGTACATCTTTAAGACATGACACAGAGAAAACACAATAGGGTTCCTTTAAAGGGATCCTTAAAGGGTTCCTGTAAAGGGATCTACAATAGGCTCATAACGTAGGGGCCTTAATACGAAACCGTCACACTGGACCTACCAATCTGCGATTTCAAGCACAGCTACAGGCAAAACATACACACACACAGAAGCAACTACACTGTGGGATCCTAATGCCTTCTCAGAGATCCCAATATCCCTTAACTAGGGAACATGCCTTAAATTATAGGGACGCTACTACTATGGTTTAAGGTATATTCCTTAATTAATGAAGGGTATTGGGATCTCCGGGTTCAAAAACAGGACATAAACCAGGAGTTCAGGGACAGCGGAGACGGCGCCTCACTGTAGAGGCGGTCGCTGAAATAGATTCGGCGAATGCCTTGAATCCGGCATATTCCTCCTAGTAGGGAATGGGGGAATGGATCCCTATAGTAGTCCCTATATAATCCCCAATAATAGACCCATTTCCTACTAAGAACCCGGAATATTCAGACTCAAGAGGCTCAGGCTCACCAATCTCAACTTGGGCAGGGCTCCTGTTGCAAAGTATATGCCTTAGGGTTGTACCTGGTTGTAGGTTGTAGTCATCCTATCTTTCAGGAACCTGACCCTTGCTTTGTGAGTTTAGGATTTGGTGCTTCGGGGCCTGCGGTTTACAGCTTTAGCTATGAACCAGGCCATGAACGTCTAACCTCAAACCGTAGTTCGGTTTCATTCGGGCTGCAGGGGTTAGGGCTCAGTGCGTGGGTTCAGTCAGAGCGCAGGGTTAGCGTGAGTGACATGAAGAGATGGAGAGATGGAGCCTTAGTGCACCAGTGCGAGGCCTATTGAATTCAATAGGCCTATTGGGTTCAATAAGGTAGGCGGAATGAAGATGCCATTGAAAGTTTCCTGTGGCATCTGGAAATTTCAATCTTCAATCCGACAGTCAACAGGCCTATTGAACTCAATAGGGCACGGATTGCGCGAAGAGAATTCCGAAGACCATCGACTATGAATCATCGTATGTAGTATCTGTACTACTGCACACCTTTTAGAGTGTAGAGTAAGCACATACACACATACAGATTGCTCTTTCACGCGAGAAAGAGGGTCAGGAGCATATTACACAGCATGTACACCCAGAAGGGTGGATAACTCGGGGTAAACCATATGCATATATATATATACTTTTGTATTCACCTATATACATCTGTATATATATATACACACACGTATTAAGATGCACAATTTCATTAAGTCCTGACGGTTGCCCTGTTTTTTTCTGCGAAGCTGTTCGAAAGGAGTCCCTAGGCGGAGCGAACGCAAACGCCTAGAAACCCTCTGAAAGACTGTCTGGTTCTTAAGAGGGAATGGGTTACTGGGACTACTATAGGGGACCTTAAGGGGCTTTTCATGGGGATCCATGCCCCCATTCCCTACTGTTTAAACAGCTGGGACTTCTCCAAGAACATAACGCGAAGCCTGCTAGACTGAACTGGAAATCAACCTTTTCCTTCTGGGACTTTTTTTAATTCAGAGTCAGAGCTAAACTACACCTAAACCCTACGCTCCTAAACCCTAGACTCCTAAGCCCCAAATCCCTAAACCCTCTGCACTCTCGTAGCAAAGCTGCGGCAATTCGCATGGAGCTGCACCCGAAGGGTCTCCTTTGCATAATGTTATGATACAGCTGCTTTTTGACACTACGGGACCCGCCAGGGATGTGAACACAAATTAGTGTGTGTTCAGGAAGCCAAGAGTTAAGGGTTCAGGATTCAGACTTTAATGGGTTTTCGGAGATGGTAAGAGGCAACGGCACGTTTGGGTCGTGTCTCTAACTAGTGTTTCCCTGGGGAGGCCGTTCTTGACAATTGCACTGTCGTCGTAGCCGTTTTAGGGTTTAGGGTTTCATCATCATCGCCATCGTCATCGCCGTCGTCGTAATCGTAGTCATCGTTACCATCGAGTTTGTCGTTGTCTCAAACACCTCTACCAACAAGAGAGCTGCATTTTTGCACTTGGGTTGCGCAACGGCCACATCGCCAACTGCAATGAAATCATGATCAAGGCCGTCATAACCGTCTTATCTTCCACAACGTCATTTTCGTCGCCGAGACAAGAACAGGAGCAACGATAACAACAGAAACAGTAGTCTTGATGCACAACAACAAAGCGATAGCAGCCATAAGTGCTTGCTCCTACCGTGATCGACGCATGTCGGTGGATGCCCTGATGGCCTTCACCACGAGATTTAGAAATGAAGTGTGTTCCCTTACAGTATATATGGGTGGTTGTCAAAATCAGGGTCCCTTTTTGGGTCCCTATTCATTGTAATACGGCACCTCTCATTTAGGGTACCCCAAAAAAGCCCTTAATATTGACAACCACCCACATATAATATACTTCATCACCGATGGTCCTTTGCAGAAAACCCCAAAAAGCTTCGAAACCCAAAGTCCTCGCACTGCAATGTTTACACTGCTCTAGCTCTAATACAAGGGCCTTCATAAACAGAATTAGAGCGCCTTGGTGTATCTTGTGGTCATGCGGAACATACAGATATAGTAAGGAACGTGAAGGAAGATCATTGCTTCAGTCTTCCGTATTGCTGTCTTTGTTCAGCCTGTAAGGTCTTTTAGGGGGTATAGGGACCCCGAAGCCCCTCGCCCCCACACCACCCCCCGCCCAATCATCTGTTCAAGTTCTTCTACACAATCCTTGGGGCTCCATATACAGTACCATTATGAAATTAGGTCCCGAAAGACCATCCATATTATGGTTTTGGGGCCTAATTCCATAGTGGTACTATATATGAAGCCTCTAGGAATCGTTAAACAACCCTCCCCCTGATGAAACCGATTATCGAGAAAAAAAAGCAACTAAGGGAAATAGGACCACGACGAGCATGACGATCATGATGACCACCACGAAAGCCACGACGATCAATGCAACAACCACGACAACCGGGAAACCAGCAGGAGACTGCACAAAACTACCAACATGCTTTCCGCAAATACAGGCGCAGGCGCAGTCGGGACGCACGCTTTCCAACAAGAAGCACGGCATTCAGCAGACTACCCCAAATCCTTCCCCCGCCCCACTTAGGGCGAAATTGTTGTCCCAAAAGTGCTGGTGCACGACACCCATCAGGGGCACCCCGAATCCTTTCCCCCACTGCTGCGATTTAAGGCTGTCGACGCAAACAAGTGGTGAATGTGTTGTAATTTTGAGCGAATCTCCGGCACGGATCCTGTTGGAATAATAGGACGCGGGGACCAGAGTTGCACCGCATGACATCGATAACAAGACACGAGGAGCCATTTTCGGGTGCCCTGCGGCCAGCGTAACCACTTCATTCTACTCTGACCGTAAGAAGCCCTCAGTGTTGCTACTCTACTTCCCAGTATAACGACGAAGACGAAAGGCCTCTAAGAGATCCTTAACCCTAAACCCAAATCGCTTTTCTTACTCTGCAGGAGAGGAGCCTAGACCCAAAACCCTAAACCCGAATGCAGGAGAGGAGCCTAAAACCTCTTAACCCCGAAGAACCTACATTTTCAAGGACTTATGTAAAGAAATCCAAATAAGGAACCCAAAAAAGGTAGGTTATTCAGGATTAACGTAAACCCTAAGCCACTTTGCAGGAGAGGAGCCTAAACCCTACACCCTAAGCTACTCTGCAGAAGAGGAGCAATGTAGTTGGTGCCGTATGCTCGCCGGGTGAAATCCGAAAGGTTGAACTGGATCCTTAGATGTACTCTTGGATCTATAGGGGTTCCTTTAGAAAGGGATCTATAAGGGTTCCTTTACAAAGGGATCTATAAGGGTTCCTTTAAAGGGATCTATAAGGGTACTATAAGGGTTTAGGGTTTAGGCTACTATAGTAGGTTTCTGAGTAGCCAATTTACAATACGTTTTTCCTACTATTGGGATTGAATAAAAGGACCCTAAACTAAAAAAGGCAAAAGGGTACGACTCACGAACCTGGTGGATTTGGGGTTTAGGATTGGGTACTGTAGTATCTGTAGTATGGTTTCAGGGGTTCCACAAGGGCTCTAGAACCGTGCTTTTGTCTGGAGTTTAGGGTTTCACGAGGCCTCCTTTGAGCGTGTTACAAGAGCTTTTTACATTCTGTTATGTTATAAACCAACAGAGGCTAAACCAAAAGCATATATCAACAATGAGAAAATTTAAATATGTACGATGTATAACGAATATGAATATCTATTGGGTTACTAGTTTCAGTACATACATATAGAATAAACTCATAAATAAATAAATAAATAAATAAATAAATAAAAAAATAAATATATATATATATATATATATATATATATGTGGGCTGTTGGGTACCGTGTTTGAGCGGCTTTCGCGGGGGGGGGGGGGGGCTTTGAGACTTTGTGAGACTTTGGGTTCCGAATTTCTTTGCGCTTTTGGGCGGGGGGGGCTTGTGAGGATTGTTTCAAGGGTCCAAAGGACCCGATAATTAGGTACTCGGTTTTGAGATAGTAGTTACGTAAATTACGATTTTGGAGAGTGTATGATTATTAGGTACTTGGACCCTTGAGGATTGCTTTAAGGACCAAACGACCCTTGAGCACAGGGGCCCTATACCCTTACACGATGAACCCCTGTATGCTGCTTGAAGCTTTAACCCTTGTTGAGTTGAAGACCCCCTCCCAAAACCACAAAACCCAAAATCCCAAACGTACTAAAACACACATTGCTTTTCTTACGCGGCTTTACCTTTAGTAAGAGTTTCAATGAATAGTCGTTGACGAAAGGGGGGCAGGGTATACTCACGAATTCTGAGTGTTTGGGGTATATATTCTGTCTGTTTGTCTGTCTGTCTATCTGTCTATCTGTCTCTGTGTCTGTCTCTGTGTCTGTCTCTGTGTCTGTGTCTGTGTCCGTCTCTGTGTCTGTCTCTGTGTCTGTCTCTGTGTCTGCACTGCTTTTGCAACGGCGCCACGCTCTTTCTATTTGCCTTTCCAACACACCTCTTGGTCAACATTTTCGAACACTTTGGCATGTAATCTCATTCCAGCTGGAGTGACGTTGCAGGCACGGACTTTTGCTGCGCGTAGTTATCCCTCATAGCTCCCTGGAAACGACTCAACACCGATAGGGGTTGACACCTATAGAGCTATCACGAACTGCCCAAACATCTGATAAGAACAGCCTGGAAAATCTTCGCAACACTCAAGAAACACCTCAGAAACCATTCCAAACCTTTACTGAGCGGCTGAATACTCTCGCCCCAAAACGGTTAACCCTGTAAAATACAAACAAAAAACATAAGCCCTAGAGGGTAAAGGTTACCTGCTCAGCCCCTTTTGTTTAAGTAATGCCCTGATTAGACCTCTATACAAAGACGCCAACACAAAGAACAGCAACCTGAATCCCAAAACACCATACCGTACACTCGATAACCCCATAACTCTGTAACCCTAACCCCCTTAAGCATACTTAGCATTCTCCGCCTGGACCCTAAATTGCCTACCGTTTGGGAATTCTGCAACGAAATCATATTAAGGAGGCCTAGACGGTAGACTTCTGAGGGCTCAGGGGAGCCCTTAAGGAAGGCAACCTCAACCCTAGATCGTAAACCCTAAACCCTAGAAGCCCTAAAGCCGAACCCTTGACCTTAAAGCTTTTAAGCGCTACCTGGACCCTGAAATTCAGGGTTCCTTACTATGATGTCCTTGTATATGTTCTCAAAAAGGTAGGTTGTATGGTGGTCAGGTAAGCACTGCAGCGAAAAGTCCCTTAGCCCGAAACCCTACACCCAAAACCCCAAACCCCCTGAACCACCCCCCCCCGTCCATCAACAAAAATAACACAACAGTATTTAAAAGAACCCAAAAGCAAAACAAAGGAACCACAAAGCAAAAAAAAAGCAACCCAACAGTCTTAGCCAAGGCGCTGGTTCCAGCCTGTGGTCGAAAAATTTTCCCGCTTGAGGGGCTTGGGGCTTGGGGTTTAGGGCTTAGGGGTTAAGGGTTAAGGTTTAGGGCTTAGGGTTAGGGCTTGGGGTTTAGGGTTTAGGGCTTAGGGTGAGGGTTTAGGATTTAGGGTTTAGGGTTTAGGGTCTTGCTATATGGAGCTACTGCGGCAACTTGGGGGGGGGTCCTTTAAAGGGTTCCCTGAAAGGGGTCTATAAGGGATCTACAGTAGGGTTCTATATTAAGGAGCCTTAATAACAACCATTCTGTTCGAGATCAATAGTGCCAGCTGATCTTCACCACATCAGACTCTACGTTTTGAGCTATGCAACACCTGTCCCGCCCGTCGATACTAGCAATCCTGCATGGCTAACTTGTAACTTGTCCTGTTGCCTCCCAGGAAGTTGAGGTGAAAGGTGTCTGTGCATCAGCCCCGCGTACCGCGAACCCCAAGCCATGAAAACGTGAGCAAGTCTTGACCTTTGGCATATAGCCCTGAAGACCTGGTGGTGCCAGCTAACAGCTGCCACAACATCGACATGTCGCATTGTCCAGAGGCAGCAGTCAGTGCAAAGCGAAGCAGACCAACTCGCCATCTGATCTCACTGCACACGTGTGATCGTGACCCGCTGAGATTTGCACGACCGCTCCCAAATCCGTCGGCACGTCGCACTGTCCGTTGGCATTACTTCCAAAGCAGACCAACTGACCATCTGATCTCACTGCACAAGTGTGAGCACCTCCTGCTGAGACTGCCACCACACTTCCCAAATCCGTCGGCACATCGCATTGTTTTTCAGAATTTAATCCAAAGCAAACCATCTGACCGTCTGATTTCACTGCACACGTGTGGGCGTTGCCAACTGAGACAGCCACAACTGCTCCCAAATCCGTCGGCACCTCGCATTGTCCGTGAGTGTTGTCTCCAAAGCAAACCAACTGACCATCCGATCTCACTGCGCAAGTTTGCTCGTAGCCGGCTGAAACTGCCACAAATGCTGGATCCTTCGGCGCCTCGCACTGTCCGTATGCATTGTCGCCGAAGCAGACCAACTCACCATTTGATCTCACTGCACAAGTGTGGTCGTAGCCTGCTGAGACTGCCACTACTTCTCCCAAAGCCGTTGGCGCATCGCACTGTGCGCAATCATTCCATCCAAAGCAGATCAAATGACCATCTGATGTCACTGCACAAGTGTGACCTCCGCCTACTGAGACTGCCAAAACTGCTCGCGAATCCGTCTGCACGTCCTGTTGTCTGTTGGCGTTCCGTCCAAAGCAGACCAACTGTCTCGCTAATCTCACAGAGCAACTGCGGTCATAGCCTGCTGATACTTCCACAACTGCGCCCAAATCGCTGGGCACATCGCATTGTCCGTAGTCGTTCCACCCGCCGCAAACCAACTGACCATCTGACTTAACTGCGCAAGTGTGATCGTAGCCTGCTGACACTGCCACAACTGCTCCGAAATTCGTCGGCACATTGACTTGTCCGTTGGCAGTATTCAATCCAAAGCAGACCACCTGACGACTATCTGATTTCACTGCACCAGTGTGTCTATTGCAAGCAGGTGTGTAGCCCTCCACCAACCTTCGTTTGCTGTAGGACAGCTGCCGGACATGTTCCCGGGACAACCTACACGGAAGACTCGCCGGAAGGCGGGGGGACCAGAAACAGGCTGAGATAAACCACTCCGCTGCAATCCAGGATGCCCAAAAAAGTATGGTGACTCCCAGAGTGGCTCTCCAAACAGACATTGCCTTAAAACCAACTCATGTGTGTGTGTGTGTGTGTGTGCGCATTTTGCTGCCTTTATGCTGCGTGAGCAACCATGCACAGTGCGCCGGTCTACTCGTCCAAAACATTCGTAACGCCAGCTCTGACAGTGAGCAGAGCCCCAATGCTCGAAACCCTGAAATTCAAACCAACATCCCGGAGTACCGGAGTACTGGTGTGATGTGCCTTTCTATGCTACTTCCAATCTGTTCTCGAGCAGACTCGCAGTCTAGGTTCCTATAAAACAAGGTCCGTGGTTTAGGTAAGAAAACTAATACTGATAGTAATATTTAATATCAAAGTTAATATCAACTACAAGTAGTTGCGGCGTTTGTGGGTTCCATTGTGTTGAAGCAGTACTAAGGTGGCACTTGCCATTCCCGCCCTGCCCCTCAAGGGCCCCGTAAAGGGCTTGCTTAAGGGCTTTATGAAAGGTTCCTCTAAGCGTTTCTTTAAGGGCTCCGTTCAAGGTTCCGTTAAGGGCTTGTTTAAGGGCTCCTCTAGAAGGAGTCCTCCCTCATAGGAGCTTTTAATAAAGGGATCGATACGGGGCAACGTCCTGCACTACCCGTTATTGCCCATTACAGTGTACATACTACATTCATGGTTCTGGCACACTTCAAGCAATCCAAAAGCCCCAGAGGGTCCAAGTACTCCCTATTATAGGACTTTAGGGCCTTCTTAGGTACCAAAAACCATAAATAGGAACTACTTGGACCCTTAGGGAGCTTGTCCATTAGCAGCATGGATACACGTGAATTGGAGATGTTTTTGCGTGTTGCAAGGCCCTAAGACTCCATGTTACCATGTAGTAGGTACACAGCCCTTAAAGGGGACCCTATATAGGTACTTTATGGCCGAAGTAACTACCATATGAGTGGTTGTCAACATTGTGGTCCTTTTTTGGGTACCCTAAATATTAGGTGCCGTATTATAATAAGGACCCAAAAAGGGACCCTAATTTTGACAACCACCCATATGGGTACATGGACCCTCTTGGGATCTACTAAGGGAACCTCCTCCTGGTTCTCTCAAGCGTTCTGACGGCTTCCGAAACCCCCCCAATAGTATAGGCTTAGTATCCGAACGGGTCCAAAGTACCTATATAGAAAAATGTAGGGTTTCCATATTCAGAACTACTATCATGACCTTGAATGGAACACCCAAATTTGATGGTCTACAGATTTCATTAGACTTAGAAAGCCCGAGCGGACGCAGTTCCAGTTACCTACTCAGACATCCCAGTATCCCTGAATTAAGGAATATGCCTTCAATTATCGGGGCCTTACTATAATGGTTTACGGTATATTCCTGAATTAAGGGGTATTGGATCTCTGGGTAAATAATGGGTTGCTGAGGCAAAAAACATGTGGTTAGTGACCTACTATTTAAGTAACTGGAGCCCTAGGGCGAGCGAAAAGGGTTTATAGGGGTCACAGCGAGCGGTTAAGTGTTTACGGTTCAGGGGTTAGGGATTAGGTATCACGAGGAACCTGATATTCGGAACCCGACGAGCCGAATCACTCAGAGATGCCAACATCCCTGAATTGGGGAATTTACCTTCAATTCTAGGGGCCTTAATATTATGCTGCAAGGTCTATACCTTAATTAAGGGGTATTTGGATCTCTGGGCACCCCTAAAAGCCTAAAGCTCCAGAAGCCCAAAGCTTTCGATAACCCTATCCTCCCAGAAATTCCAATACCCCCCTAATTGCGGAATACACCTTATAACCATAACATCAAGGCCCCTAGAGTTAAGGTATATTCCTGAGTTTAGGGATAAAGGGAACTCCAGAAACTTGGGATATGGTTTCAGGGTAGGATACCGCCTTATAATTTACCATAAAGGGCTTAGGATAATCATATTCCAACTTTCTGGCTTTTACTGTACTTGAAGGATCATGGGACTTAGTAAGTGGGTTATATTTGGGGTTATAAGTCCCCTAAGTGGGGTTATCCTAACTATAACCTACTTATAACCTTATTTACTAAGTCCCATGAGCCTTCAAGTAGACCCTAAACCCTAAACCCCATAGATCCCCCTTTAAGGAGCCCTATAGATCCCTTTAAGGAGCCCTTTAAGAACCCTTACTAAGTCCCATGAGCCTTTAAGTATTCGGATCTCTGAGCTGCAGCCTCCTTGAACCCTAAACCCTATAGATCCCTTGTAGATCCCTTAAAGGAACCCTTAGGGATCCCTTTAAAGGAACCCTAGGTATTCCTCAATTATGGGATATTCAGATCTCTGAGCTGACGCCTCCTGCTCGCCTGTTCCCACAACACCTACAGCCGATGTCAGAGCGTGCGCCCTGAAACAACAACGGTTTAGGGTTTAGGGTTTAGGGTTTCCCGGTTTAGGGTTTGGGGTTCTGGGTTTCCCGGTTTAAGGTTTTGGGTTTAGGGTTTCCCGGTTTAAGGTTTAGGGTTTAGGGTTTCCCGGTTTAAGGTTTAGGGTTTCCCGGTTTAAGGTTTAGGGTTTAGGGCCTACCAGAAAAAAAACAAATGATACACTCAACTAGACTCACCATGATTCCTAAGCAGGCTTGCTGAGAACTGCATTCCCCCTAGGGCTCCAGTTATGTAAATAGTACGAACCATACAAAATATAGCCCAGTAGCCCATTATTTACAAACCTAGGAGTAACCTAGGAATGAAAAGGGTGCCCTTTTTGCTTTGAAGGGGGTTATGAGGGAACCTCAATCTTGAAAGAGGGAATAAGGGCATGCTCTGGGTCCTAGTTTAGTTGTAGGATCCTTAAGGGAGGGTGGTTCAAGGGGGGAGGGTATAAGGAATCCTTAGGGGACTGTAAGGGAACCTTAGGGAGTACTAGGTAGAATTAGGGATCACTAGGCTATATACCCCCTTGGACCCCCCTCCCTTAAGGATACTACAGTTTAGGTTGCTGGAGCCCAGTCGCCCATCATTTAGGTAACCTGACTTCCCCAATAAGCCACAGAAATAGAAGGTTAAACTTCCCGGTTACTCTTAAACTATAAGAACCCAACAAGTTTCAAAGGTTGGGTATTGGGGAACTAACCTAAAGGCTCCATATATAGTACCATTATCGAATTAGGGCCAAAGCCATCATATGGATTGTCTTTTGGGACCTGAATCCATAATGGTACTGTATCCAATAATCATATACTCTCCAAAATCCTCACCTGCATAACTGCTACTTATCCTAAACCCGAGTACCTAATTATCGGGTCCTTGGACCCTTGGGGTTGGGTATTGGGGAACTAAGTAACTGGAACCCTAGGGTTTCGTAGCAACCTCCCTCTCCTCCCTTCAACGTTTGCGCTAAAACGCGAAGCCTCCTCACCCGAAACCCTAACTCGGAGCCTCCAAAACCCCTTAATTAAGGAACATACCTTAAATAATAGTAGGGATCCTATTATGACTTTTAAGGGGTTTTGAAGCTCTGGGAAGCCCGCTCGCTAGACGACAAGATGTGTTCTCATATGCGCAGGTTGGGAGTTGCGCACAGCCTTCACAGCCATAAACCCTAAAGCGCTTCCGAAGTACTTGGTCTGGACGCTCCGATTCCCTGAATGAGAGATGCCGGGCTTTAGGGTTTAATTAGGGTTTGGGGTAGCACTATCTGCTCGGTGGGACAAATGCTCTGGGATGTTGAACGGCTGAATTACTCGATCGACGATAGCGCGGAGCCTTCAGTCAAAGGTCCAAGGCATATCCTCAACATGGAACTCGGTCAGGCGTTGTACATGAAGGAAGCTGTTTGGTGCGGTCTGATTACACAGCATCAGCCAGAGTCGATAATAGCACGGACCGATAGATGACGAGCTTCCATTTTTCTCAAGCCCCTGCAAGAGAAAAACAAGCTTGAGAAGCTTGGAGGGGGCTGGAGGCATGCACTGCTTTGAGAATTCGAGCGCCGCCCGTGCGATTGTCTGTCAGTTTAAGGAAAATGCATAGATACTAAGCCCAAAACCCAAATCCCCACCCCCCCCCCCCCCCCCCCCCCCCTGCGTTTCCGAAAAAAAATCGCCTCGATACTTCCCTTCGTCCACAAGTCCAGAGCTCCCAAATCCTTCTTCCTCAATCATGATGCGGTAAACCGAATCACTCCAGCAGAGCTTTGGGATTTTTCGGAGGTTAGGGCTCATGGTTTAGGAAACCTTCTTGCGGTGAGTAAAAACTGTGGAAGTATATTCGGAAGCCCAAGCAATATTATCATATTCTTCAAATCATATTGGGGATCCTACTATAAGTTAACAGTCTATTCCTTAATTTAAGGGCTATTGGAGTCTCTGGGTAGCCTTGACACTATAAACCCTATAGAATCCCTCAAACGAACCCTTGAGGAGCCCTGTAAAGGAACCCGAGATATCCCTTAAGGGATATTGGAGTCTCTAAGTTCTGGCCGCATGGCCTTCGTCTCCCACATGCCAATACTCTCCACTGCAGGCAGCATTTCTAGGGCCACCACGAAAAGCACATAAGCAAAAATTAAGGGTAGGGATATCCCAAATAAACCCCTTAAGAAGGAAGGCCACTAAGGTAAAATGCTTATGCTTATTATGTGCTTCTTGGGTCCATAATTTTCGGCCAGCGCGGTATGTAAGACAGCGAGCACAATCATCGGAATAGTGTTCTGGTCTTGGTGATTATTCTGGCATACTTATATAGACATACTCTTACCAATAATGAACATGCGTAGATAGGAGGAAAAGAGCCGGCACATACTCAGGCAAGGACGCAACAACTCTCGACATATGGCAGTGTCCGCAATACCTCCATCCACAGCAACTAACAGATGACTCGATTTCACTCAATGCGTGTGAAGGACTCCGTCGGCACATCACAATTTCCTTTGGTATTCCATCCAAAGCAAAGCAACTCACCGTCTGATCTCATTGCGCAAGTATGACCAAAGCCAGCAGAAACTTCCACAACTGATCCCAAATCCGTCGGCACATTGCATTGTCCGTACGTATTGCTTCCGAAGCAGACCAATTGACCATCCGATCTGACTGCACAAGTGTGCATTGCGCCTACTGAGACTGCCACAACTGCTCCCAAATCTGTCGGCACGTTGCATTGCCCCTTGGAATTCAACCCAAAGCAGACAACCTGACCATCTGATCTCACTGAACATGTGTGACGGTGGCCCGCTGAAACTGCAAGAGCTACTCCAAAGTTCGCCGGCACATCGCACTGCCCGTTGGCATTCAATCCAAAGCAGACCAACTGACCATCTGATTTGACTGCACAGGTGTGCCGATAGCCTGCTGAGATTGCCACAACTGCTCCCAAATCCGCTGGCACATCGCATTGTCCGTGAAAGTTACTGCCAAAGCAGGCCAACTGACCATCAGATTTGACTGCACACGTGTGATCCTCGCCTGCTGAGACTGCTGCAACTGCTCCCAAATCTGTCGGCACATCGCATTGTCCCTTGTTGTTCCGTCCAAAGCAGACCAACTGACCATCTGATCTCAATGCACAAGTGTGAGCACCTCCTGCTGAGACTGCCACAACCGCTCCCAAATGCGGCGGCACATGGCACTGTCCGTCGAAATTCCATCCAAAGCAGATCAAACGACCATCTGATGCCAGTGCACATGTGTGAGCTTGGCCTGCTGAGACTGCCCCATCTGCTCCCCAAAGCGTCGGAACATCCCCTGTCTCTTGGCGTTCAACCCGAAGCAGACCAACTGTTTTCACTACATGCACGTGCCTATTGCAGAAGGACGCCTTTGATTCCCAGCCATCTCCGAAGGCTCCTTTGCTGCAGGACATCTGCCAGACATGTTCCTTGGACAAGCCACTTGGAGGTCTCGCTCGCCAGCACGAGGAGCCGAGGCATAATGAACGAAGACAACCTGCCGAAATCCAGGATGTCCAGCAAAGTATGGCGAGCTCCAGCACGACTCTGGAAACAGACATGGCCTTAACAACTACACATGATGCGCTTCATACCGTGCGCTTTCATGCTACCTCATGACGCATACGCACTGATCGAAAATCACACCCAATCTCGCTCCAAAAGTAGTTTGCAAATGAAAGGCGATGAACAAACGATCTAAACACTAGACCCTGTGCTCTAAGACTCTGAACCCTCAACCCTGTTATCTAGGGGCCTTAATAATTAGAATAGGGTTTTGGGGCCCATTATACTATACTTATCGGAAGCAACCCCCAGAATAGTATAGGTAATTATTTAAGCCCCTATATATCATAGAACCCTACTATAGATCCCTTTAAGGAACCCGTTTAAAGGAACCCTACTCTATGTAGTAAGCCAAACAAACTGAGCTTTGTACCCGAGATCTCGTGTCATGGCCTTTCCATATTGCACTTAGGGTTTAAGGGTTTAAGGGTTTAGGGGTTTAGTTTAGGGGTTTTTAGGGGTTTAGGGGTTTAGGGTTTAGGGTTTAGGGGTTTAGGTTTAGGGTTTAGGGGTTTAGGGGTTTAGGGGTTTAGGGGTTTAGGGGTTTAGAGTTTAGGGTTTAGGGGTTTAGGGGTTTAGGGGTTTAGGGGTTTAGGGGTTTAGAGTTTAGGGTTTAGGGGTTTAGGGTTTAGGGGTGTGGGGGTTTAGGGTTTAGGCTTTAGGTGTAGTCTTTCTCTTCGTGAGCAACAATGCAGCAGCACACGTGTTGGCTTAGAGCTGAGGCATTGATTTTTGGAGAATGGGGTTGAAAGTTCAGGCCTCACAGCTTACGGTTACACCTAGCATGCTCAACCGAAAGCTCCTTGCGATAGCGAGGTGGCCAGAAAATTTTGACCCCAAGTACACGTCCTAAGGTGATTGGAGGCCAAAAGGTGGTTTAAGATTCTTGGGGTAGGGATTCCTTAATATGAACCCTATCATGGGAACTCTAATCCCTACTACACCCCCATGGGCTGAAACCCCTTTTTAGGGCCATGATAAGGTGCCGGGGGCTGCCCGGTAAGAGTTTCCCAAACTTTGCAGAGTCCGGCGGCTGCCTCTGACTATGCACACAGTCTTATCCCTAGTTCATCCCCGATTCCCCTACTAAGTGTCCATGTACCTATATACGATAGACTTCCCATACAGAAACCGCAAAGCCCTTCAAAACCCTCATCGAGACAAACCGTCATGAACTCCTGTTTTCAGCTCAGACAAATAGCACTTTACAGCTGTCATCCCCTATAATATACTCCAAGTCGCCTTTGAAAAGGCACGGTTAAACTGAAAACTAAGCTAGCTCGAACCTCCAAAACCCTAAACCCTATAAGCCCTAAACCCTGAACCCGAAACCCTGAATCCGAAACCCTAAACCCTGAACCCGAAACCCTAAACCCGAAACCCTAAACCCGAAATCCTGAACCCTAAACCTTGAACCCCAAACCCTAACTATAAGCCCTAAACCCGAAACCCCTAACGCTGAACCCGAAACCCTAAACCCTGAACCCTGATCCCTAAACCTGATCCCTAAACCCTGAACCCGAAACCCTGAACCCGAAACCCTAAACCTTGAACCCGAAAATTGCAGACGTCCAAAGCCTTCATCCAGGCGCATGGGCATGGTACAGATGAAGGGCTTCACCCTGGCCGGCTGCGGTTAAAGGACAGGACCCAGAGGCTCCACAATATATAGGGGCTTGAACACTTAGAACGGGGTTTGGGGACCAATATGCTATGATTATAGTAAGAAACCCAAAAATAGTATAGGTAAAGGCACCCTGAGTCTGCACTACTATTACGGAATTAACCCTGAAACCCATGATATGGATGGTCCTTTCGGGACCTAGCTCCATCATGGTAGTCTATTTGGAGCCTTTGGGGGGATTCTTTGGGCGTCGTTTGCAATGCTTTCGGAATCCTTTTGACTGGCTTTCCTAGAGTTGTATAAGGACTCCAGAAGCAGTGTCCAAGAGCTTATGAGGATTTTTATAAGGCTGTTCCAAAGGTGTTAGTAAGGGGAGTTGAGAAGGTGTTAATGATGAGTAGGACAATTGGGCTTCGGTCTTTACTTTGAGAGTCCGGGGAGTGGGCGGTATTAGATTATTAATTCAGTAAGATTTAAATGGGATAAACACACTTAGGGTCCTCTTTAGGGTACATATAACACCATTTCCGATTTCCCAAAACACCTGCAAGCTCCTACAACACCCACAGAACGGCTATCATCACCCTATGAAGAACAGTGTTATACTTGGAGGGTCGGGGACTTAGTAACTGGTTATTTTAAGGACTTAAAAGTACCACAACCCCAATTAGGGTCCCTTTTAGGGTACTTATAAGTCTACTTACTACCTACTTACTAAGTCCCCCGACCCTCCAAGTAGGGGCCCGAAGAATTCCAACACTTGAGCTTATATTAGGTAAACACAATAAGGTCGACAAGGAGATACTATTACGAGTCTGCACGAATGTTCGGCTGGTATATACCCAAGACCCTAAATCCTGCAGAATTGAACTGCTGTTAGATGCTGATATACATATATATATATATATATATATATGGTGCCCCCCCCCCCCCACGTACCTACCCTTTTCCTGCTTTCCTGTTCAGGTGCGGAGCTCAGCAAGCCGATGCAGGTTTATGTCATCCAGGGGATACGGGCTGCAGTAAGATAAGATGGTGCTCCTACACACAATCCCAATCGTGCTCCTGTACACCGTCCCAAAACCGCACGGTCGCGATTGAAACTACCAATAAAAGTGGCACACAAGGAGTCCGAAACATTGGAAAAACCAATAAAGTTGGCCGACAAGGAGCTTAAAGCATTGGAAAAACCAATAAAAATGGCACACCGGGAGTCCAAAACATTGGAAAAACCAATAAAAATGCATACAAGGAGCTCAAAACATTGGAAAAACCAATAAAAACCATAAAAACCATGATTTTCAAACTATCGCCCGGGAGGTGGTGTCGCGCCTGGACATAAATTGAAAATCATGGTTTTTATGGTTTTTATTGGTTTTTCCAATGTTTTCGGCTTCTGAAACTCGGAAACATTGGAAAAACCAATAAAAGTGGCACACAAGGAGTCCGAAACATTGGAAAAACCAATAAAAATGGCACACCGGGAGTCCAAAACATTGGAAAAACCAATAAAAACGCATACCAGGAGCTCAAAACATTGGAAAAACCAATAAAAACCATAAAAACCATGATTTTCAAACTATCGCCCGGGAAGTGGTGTCGCGCCTGGACATAGATTGAGAATCATGGTTTTTATGGTTTTTATTGGTTTTTCCAATGTTTTCGGCTTCTGAAACCCGGAAACATTGGAAAAAACAATAAAATTGGCACACAAGGAGTCCGAAACATTGGAAAAACCAGTAAAGTTGGCCGACAAGGAGCTTAAAGCATTGGAAAAACCAATAAAAATGGCACACCGGGAGTCCAAAACATTGGAAAAACCAATAAAAATGCATACAAGGAGCTCAAAACATTGGAAAAACCAATAAAAACCATAAAAACCATGATTTTCAAACTATCGCCCGGGAGGTGGTGTCGCGCCTGGACATAGATTGAAAATCATGGTTTTTATGGTTTTTATTGGTTTTTCCAATGTTTTCGGCTCTGAAACTCGGAAACATTGGAAAAACCAATAAACTGGCATACATTCTAGTTGTGAGGATTGAAGATCAAGGCTTTAATCAGTCGTCAATATCCTGAGTGCCAGAAGACGTCTCAAGATGGAAGAGCTTGCATACTACAGATCATCATCCAAGTATAAACCTTTCCTATCCACTATTAGCTGTTTATCTTACAAGCTGTTTACATCTAAGAAACTGTAAGATTAATACAAGTTGTAACAATCAATAAACGTATATCTTACGGTCTAGATGTTGGTATGGTCTGTAAAGTCCTAGTAACCAGGCTAAGTCTTATGCGTTGAAACACCTGCTATGTTAGGTAGGCACCTGTAGTCCCAGGGCCCCATAGCCCCCAGATGTTTATAGACTGTAATGGTATGAAATGGAATGAGTAGCAACAAACGTACTCAGTAGGATGATAACAGTTAGCACATAGTTGATATCCATAAATATCCTGTAATCATAAGAGGATTGGTTTGTATTATTAGTACTTCATTAATCTCATGCGCAACTTATGGTATCAGTCTTACTAGCTACAGATTCAGTACATCAGGTTTATCATCAACATTAACATCTTTATATCTTCTGTATTACTTGTCATATTGTGAAATTATTAGGTTTGCGTTTAGTTACTTTATCAGGAGCTTTGCTAATGCTATTAACAGATATACACGATAATGCAATATTCTATGAACCATACTTTGGAGGTGATCCTATATTCTACCAACGTTTGTTTGTTTTTTTGGACCGGTTGGTATTCAATAGTCTAACAATAATTGGCATATTACACGTCTTGGTTAACTTATTTATGATCTTAGTTATGAGTTGTATTGTCTATTAGGAAAGTTCAGTTTGGCCACATCATATATTTACAAATAGTATGGAATAGTGATACAAGAGCTAACTTTACAACTTTGTAAATTGATATAATGTCATTACCAGCTGGTTCGTTAAGACCTTTTGATTGGTGTTCTACATATCTGAATACTTAATGCATATTTCATGATACTAGTTCACAACTAATGCTATCTGGTATACTAGATCTTTCATATAAACTGTATATAATAGGTGGTCCAACTGGTATTGTACTTGGCTAAATTTTAATGCTGACATAGATTTACATGACTCTTATTATGTTGTTGCAGGCTTTCTTTGTGTGTTTTATCATTAGGTACAGTCATTGCTTTTCTGTTAAGTCTATTATATGTACAGTCAGATGAAGTATGATTAATAACAGGATCAACATGACTTGCTAACACCAGGTTAACAGCTAGTGGTATGAATGGTTTAGGTTAGCTATGTTTCGTAGTTATTACAAGTTAAGTTATCTAGGTTATTCATGGTAGTTGTGGTCCAGTGGGATTATGCTACCGTCTACACCATTACATCTAAGTGGTTACTAATGTTATGCCTAGAAGAGTACAAGACTATGGAGAGTAGTTTATAATCGTTGGAATAACACTAGTTCAGTTGGTTAGAGGTTGCGTGTTAAATCGTTTTTTGTCACTGCTGATAGGTAAGGTGGGCCCTCTATGGGCCGATGTACCCGTACCTCCATACGGGGTGAACAACCAGCATATATAGATGGGATGGCAACTTCTTTTAGTAACACGAATTGATAATAATAGCTGCATGGTGTTGCAAAGACTTTGGTGATACAGTTAATAAGTGAATGACTGCAATTGTATTATTAGAATGGATCGTAGTGGGCCTACTTCAGTGGCCCATGTGTGACACTTGCACCATGTCAAAGGAAGGTTGCTTACACATCAATAGCTGTTGTATCTGGCTCACAGAGTCTTTGTAATACGTCGAAGTGTTCAACACTTGGAGACAAACACACCAAATAGGTAGGTACGTCGGGGGGGGGGGTAGCATATATATATAGGTTAGTTAGACTAGCTTAGCTTTAGATTGGATTAGACTAGGATAGATGGATTGAGCGATAGATAGACAGCTAGATAGATGCAGGACCCAAGCCTGAACTCATAGTAGTTGGATCGCGCCAGACTTACTTACCTAAATGCAGACTTGATCTGATATAGGGTTTGATACAGCCCCAAAATAACACCCGGAGTATACAATTACAAGTGTTCAACACCGAGCCCTCTGTACACTCATCAACGTCGAATGCAAGCGCCTCACCTTACACGACTTGAAGCAAGTTTCAGTCCGAAACAACACGAAGTTAACGGTTACGTAATCGAATACCGAGTTAGTCAGCCACTGCACAAGCCACTGTAGCCAGGAACTATTGGGCGTATCTTACGGTTCAACGGCTTTTTACAGCAGGGTTCAGGAGCCTTGGGGTTAAGCGTTTAGGGTCTACCTAAACCTCCAAAAGTAGGTAAAATAATGGCCCGAAACGCATAAAAGGCAACTATTCTACATACTTTGGGGGTTTCTGGTATACGCTTTAGGGTGTAGGGTTCAGGGCTTCAGGGGTTTAGGGTGGAAGCCTTAGGCTTCTCTGGCTTGCTGTGATATTGCGCCACAGGCAGTTGCAGTCAGCGCTTTGCGAGCACGGTGAACTTCACCGCAAAAACCTAAAGCCTAAAATCGAATATACTATAGCCACTATAGCCCTCATAGACCCCTTCTAGAGCCCTTTACGGACCCTGGTAGTTTTGTGGCCCAGAGACACTTGGAGCCACTGCTTACTCCGATGTAGGGGCCTTACTAATTAGAATAGAGTTTTGACGGCATATTATACTGGGGTTACAATACTATAACACCTAAAATAGTATAGGCAATTATTAAGGCCTCTATAGTACAAAGTACCCTACTTTTCAGGAACCCTTTGAAGGAACCGGTTAAAGGAATCCTTGTATGGAGCCTTGAAATTAGAGGGACCTTTGAAAGAACACTGTAAAGGACTCCTTCAATAAGCAAGGAAGTTTTAACCAAACCCTCTAAATGATTCGTTGATGGGCAAGGCATTTCTACGAGAACCCATTAAAAGTGTCCTTCACTTATAGGCTCCATTATAGTTCCTTTGTGTTGTTTATACTCGGGATACCATAAAGTAATCCCCAGAAGAAACTACCATGGAGCCTGCGGGTAATAGGCAAGGAACCTCTACAAGAACCATTTCCATAGGGGCCATGTACCCTACTAGTATATACTTTCGGCCCCAAAGTACCTACATAGGGACATTTTAAGGCTCAACTATGTACTATTTGCGTACATGGACCCTTAGGGTTTAATGTTGATTCCTTAATTCACTTCTGGAACCCTTATAGATCTCCTTAAGGAACCCTAAGGTATTTCAACAAAGCCCTTTACCAGGCAAGCCTGGTTGTGCTCTGGTAGTTCGAGGCGCGGAAGCGTCTGCGGACTTCCTTGTCATCCAGCACCGTGACCTCTCGGGTTTAGAGCAGGCTTTGGGGGTTTCGGTTTCAGGGATTAGGGGTTCTTGGAGGGACAGGGGACTTAGTAAGTAGGTTATATGTATAGAGTTGTAAGTAATGGAGTTACCCCAATTTTCCCCCTACTTGTACTCATAACCTACTTACTAAGTCCCCTGCCCCTCCTTTAGAGATCCCCTTATAACCCCCTTAGAGGTCCCTTTAAGGATCCCTTCTGTTACTTACTAAGTCCAAGTTTAAGGACTGTGACCTGTCGGGCTTAGAGAGCGAGCTCTAGGGGTTTCAAAGGGATTTGAAGAGATCTGTATGCTCTAGGGGTTTACGTTTAGGGTGGGACGGTTTAGGGTTTAGAGTTTATGGTTCAGAGGTTTAGGGTATTCATGAAGCGATCCAGTGTTTAAGGTTTTGGGCTTTCGATTTTGGGTTTGGAGGGGATTTTAGGGGTTCACTGGATGATTAAGCGGTCGTCGGACGATCCAGGTATGTGCTTTAGAGATACTCAGGATTTACAGGCTTAGGATTTTAGCGTTACTCAGGGTCTGCGTCTTGGGTTTTACGACTGTTGTTGTTGTTGTTGTTGTTGGGGTATAGGATTATTCTATAGGATCTGTCGTTGAGGGTTTCGGATTCGCGGCTATTTACGGTGCAGGAACACACTGTTGCATCTCGGGTTTCGGCAACCTCCAACCAAGTACTGCATTGCAGTACTAGTTGCCAGGTGCTACTAGCGACAATCCTGGTAATGGCTGCTATCAGCAAGCGGGGTTTATAGTACTGTTGATGATATAAATCCTGCGTGACCCATAACAAGGAATATACCATAATTCCCACATACTCCTCACTATGGGTAATGCGGATTTATATCATCAACCGTATCATGGCATGGTAATGCATTCTGCCCCTAAACTCCAGACATGCTGCTTTACGTGTAGCCTAGAAACTCTGAAGTTTAAATCGGTAATGCGCGACTTGTACTCAGAACAAATTGCTGTTGCGCCGAGAACTGCTGCCGGATGACTTGCACAATCTTGCAGATAGTTTTGTTTAGGGCTTAAGGGCTTTGGGGTTTAGGGTGTAGTGGATAGTCATCACCATCCCTGCTCTTAAATCTGCTGATACAGTGTTCTGCCAACATATGTGTAGCTATGAATGCTGCTGTGGATGCCAGTCGACCTGCGCATACGGGTGCGTGAGATTGTTTCAAACAAACCTACCTGCACCATATCAACCCTAAAGCCCTAAACCCTAAAGCCGACAAAAACAGAACAACCAAAGCCCTAGAACCTACACCCTGAACACCCGAAACCGAAAATAATCCTTGAGGGCACCTTCACAGTAGCCTCACAGGCCACATCCCGAACAGCCTCGCAATACCCCTGAAACCTCCCCACGGATTAGGGTCGACGAGTAAGGACATCTCAGGAATCTGTGATTCCCTACATGGTGCTTGAACCTGAAACTCCTTTTGTCCGTACTACTACTACTACTACTACTACTACTACTACTACTACTACTACTACTACTACTACTACTACTACTACTACTACTACTACTACTACTACTGCTATGATGACAACGACGATGAGTACTTACTTCTACCTCTGCATGAAATCTGAACCCTACCACCCTATAAACGACTAGCGAGTCTCTGCATGCTCGGCGGGCCTCAAAGGTAAAGTACTTCTTCAGGTTCTTGATGATCATCACCTGCCCCAAAGACTCCCAGGCAAAAGCCTTCACTTAGGGAGTATCCTAAACCCTTAAACCTTCCAACCCTAAGCGGCGTTGATATTCGACCCGGGTTTTCGGAGAAGCTATAGCATAGACTGAGCGTAGGGTGTATTTTTGAGTTGCTTCACGGGAACAGTATTGCGAATGTCGCGCGCGCGCAGTCGCGCAGCACCGTGCCGAGTAGTGTAGTGTTGAACATGTCCAAGATGCATCGCCGGCACATAATTACCTTAAGACCCAAACCATATCTTACAGAAGCCGAGCCCTCTGAACATTTATCGAATCACTGTCGTAACCCATAACTGAACCCTTAAATCCGTAAACAAGCTATTCTCCGGTATACCGATATGGGTGGCTTTACAAGTCATGGTCCCCTTTTGAATACCATAAATGATACAGGTGCCGTACTATATTAGGAACCCAGAAAGGGACCATGATTTTTGACAACCGCCCATATAGAACTCAAAGCCTCAGTCGTCAGGGGTCTCGAGCTGGGGCTCTTGACTATACTGAACTTAGAACCCTAGAAAAATCATAATTTCAGCTGTTTCTTAGGGATTATAATGACCAAAAATTTAAAAATATTTCTAAGTACCCCTAAGTTGATGTCTCAGGTGGGATTGCCAGGGAACGAAGAGGCTTACGCCTCCGGAGTTTTGGGGCTGCATGGGACCCTAAACCTGCAGGGTTTAGGGTTTAGAACACACATCAACCCGTAAAGTTTAGGGGCTGACCTGTGTTTTATGGGCTTAGTTTATCCTAGAGGAACTACAGGCTATCCTGCGGGATTACATACGGATTGTAATTCCCCGGTCCAACAAGGTTCAAGGCTACCTACTCTAAAAATTGTTCGCTTACTTGACGTCTCAGGTGACTGAAAAGGTTCACGGTTTACTCACTGGCCCAAAAACCAAAGGAAATAAAAGTTGAAACTTCCAGAATCGAGTACCTTATAAGAACCCCCGAAGTTGAAAGGTTGAGTTTACAGCCAATAAGTGTAGTGGGTTGGGGTTTAGGCCTTAGGGGTAACCCTAGCAAAATTATAATTTTAGCTGTTTCTTAGGGATTATAATAACCAAAAATCAAAAATTATTGCGAAGTACCCCCAAGGAAAGGTTGAATACCGGCTCTATATGATTTCGGGGTTCGGGGTTACTTGGAGGGGCTTTAGGGGCTTAGTAGGTGCTCTTAAAGGGCTCCTTAAAGGGATCTATAGGCTTCCTTCAAAGGGATCTATGGGGGTTTTGGGTCTACTTGGAGGGGCAGGGGACTTAGTAAGAAAGGTTATAAGTAGGGTCATAATTAGGATAACCCCACTTAGGGGACTTTTAACCCCAATTATAAGCTACTTACTAAGTCCCATGATCCTCTAAGTAGGCTTTATGATTTAGGCTTAAGGGGCTACTTGAAGGCTCAAGGGAGGTAGCAAGTAGCTTCTACGCCGGGCCAGCCCAAGGTGAACCCCAAGGGTCCAAAGCACTGAATAATGAGGTACTCGGCTTTAGGATAATAGTTATGTAGGTTAGGATTTTGGAGAGTATATGATTATTAGGTACTTGGACCCTTAGGGTTAACCCTAAACCCTAAACCGCTAAGCACTAAACCCTCAAGGGTCCCTTTTAAAGGCTTTGTTTAAGGGCTTCATTAGGCAGTATGCAGACAAACCCATGTTGTTTTTGAAGGGCGTGGTTGGGTGGGCCTCCAAGACTCCCCAGACCTTCCAAAATCCCTCAATTAAGGAATATACCTTAAATTATAGTAGGATCCCTAATATGATTCCTTAATTAAGGGATTTTGGAAGGTCTGGGTCTGCAAGGCCTCAAAGGGCTTTCTGTCTGTTCTGCAGGATCAATATGTGACGCCGACACTGCGAATATGGGTGTGTTCGGCAAATCGCTACAACAGGAGTACCTGTTAAATTATGTGAGGGGTTCCACCAAAGTTCAAAATATGTTCCTCATGCAATGTGTTGCTTCGAGTCTCCGGGTCTGGGATGCTTCAGTGGGAGTGCATCTTTGTGGGGAATGTATCAAGCAAAGTTGTGTATTAAAGAGTCCTCGTTTGTTGAGTTTATTTATGAGGCATTCTGGGTCTTACAAGGCTATTATAGGATTGAACAGGCTTTGTAGAGGGGTCTAGATCGTTATAGTAAAAGCCAGAAAGTTGGAATATGATTATCCTAACCCCTTTATGGTAAATTATAGGGTATCCTACCCTGAAGCACCACATTCCAACTTTCTGGAGTTCCCTTTAGTGTGTTGGTGGCAGTGCCTTCGGGCAACTAGGAACAGGGGCTTCGTCACATCGGTCTCGAGTTGTACAGCATTTCCCCCAAGGGTCCAAAGGACCCAATAACTTGGTACTCGGCTTTGGGATAGCAGTTATGTTAGTGAACAGATTGCCCCAAGGGTCCAAAGGACCCAATAATTTGGTACTCGGTTTTGGGATAGTAGTTTTGTAAGCTAGGATTTTGGGAGAGTATACGATTATTAGGTACTTAGACCCTTGGGGTTATAGAAGGATAGGCTGGGAAACTACGGTTGATGATATAAATCCTGCATTACCCATAATAGGGAATACATGGGAACTATGGAATATTCCTTATTATGGGTAATGCAGGATTTATATCATCAACTGTAGCTCTAGTTTCGGCTCTTGGAGTCTGGGATTCAAAACTAGCGCGAGCATAATTCAGAAGATCATCCATCATCCTCTGGCAGAATCGAGTCGGTGCTTACTTCTACAGCCGAAAACCGTGCGAAGCACTGATCTGGATTTCAGATCGGATGTTGCCTTATTGAAAGAACATGCAACTTCTGACTGTCCAGTCGTGTCGGTTTGAGTGACGAGGCTGTGCCACAGATTGGGGTACATGTTTAATTTTTAGGACACCTATGGAAGAACATTGGTAATTGTTTGCATATACCAAAAACTAAGACAGCGAAAAGCCCTCTAACTACATTGGGTTGTCAGTTCGCGCGGGCGTGCAGCAGGTCCCGCCGCTCTTGTTTCGTCGATGATGGCCATCAGCTGTCGGCACATCGCACTGTCCGCTCTCATTCAATCCAAAGCAGACCAACTGACCATCTGATGTGATTGCGCAGGTGTGATCTTTGCCCGCTGAGACTTCCACAACTGCTCCAAGATCCGCAGGCACATCGCACTGTCCAAAGGTATTATCTCCAAAGCAGACCAATTGACCGTCTGGTCTCACTGCACAAGTGTGCAGGTAACCTGCGGAAACAGCCATAACGGCTCCCAAATCCGTCGGCACATAGTCGGAATTCAATCCAAAACAGACCAACTGACCATCTGATCTTAGAGCACAAGTATGATGGTAGCCTGCGGAGATTGCCACAACTACTCCCAAATCCGTCGGCACATTGCATTGTCCTTTGGCATTCAACCCAAAGCAGACAACCTGACCATCTGATCTCACTGAACATGTGTGACGGTGGCCCGCTGAAACTGCAACAGCTGCTCCAACTTTCGCCGGCACATCGCATTGCCCGTGGGCATTCAACCCAAAGCAGACCAACTGACCATCTGATTTGACTGCACAGGTGTGCCGATAGCCTGCTGAGATCGCAACAACTGCTCCCAGATCCGCTGGCACATCGCATTGTCCGTAGGTGTTATCTCCAAAGCAGACCAACTGACCGTCTGATCTCACCGAACAAGTGTGACAACAACCGGCTGAGACTGCCACAACTGCTCCCAAATCCGTCGGCACATTACATTGCTCTGTGGCGTTCCCTCCGAAACAAACCAAGCCTCCATTTGATCTCACTGCACAAGTGTGCAGGTACCCTGCAGCGACTGCTTCTCTACAGTCCGGCGGCGTGTCGCATGCTGTGTTGGCGTTGACGTCAAAGCAAAACAACTGACCATATGGTTTCACTGCACCAACGTGCCTTTGGCCCAAGGAAGATCCATGTTTGTAGCCATGCACAAGGAATCGCTTGCTGCAGGGCAGCCGCAGCACATGATTCATATTGAACTCATAACCCCTTGTGCAAAGTTCCAGGATAACTTACTTGGCTGACAGGTTGGCAAGCACCGAGGGAGCATGACAAGTTTCAGAGCCCTCTAGTACAGACATTGCCTTAAAACGATCTCACGTGTGTGTGTGTGTGTGTGTGTGTACTTTCTTGCTGCCCTTATGCAGTCTGATGAACCCTACATCCTACCTTAACCCAGATTAACCTAGCCTTTTAGGGACGCATATCAAGAAATCAAACAGGGAACCCTAAAAAGGTAGGTTTTTCAGGGTTAAAGTAAAACCGAGAGCAAGGGCCTTCTGGGGATAGGGAGGCTTTGCTGAGTAGAGTTTCACTCGGCATATATGAAGCATAATACAGGGACTTTAAAGATTAGAATAGGGTGTTGGGGAATATTCGTCTAAATTCTAACAACTAAGAATGTTCCCCAAAATAATGCATAATCGGTGACACGGATCATGGACACAAAGTCCGCTTTACCGACTGGTTATAACGTTTGTGAGATGCTGTAAGACGTTGTACGGGTTTTGCCCTAAACCCCAAACCCTAAACCGTTCAGGTGGCGCGGCTTATCGGACAGAGGTTTAGGGTTTCGCGCTGCGTAAGTTGAATGATTGAGCCTTCAAGCAGATGCGCAAGCATACTTGGAGGTTCAGGGGTAGTTATAAGCGGGGTTACAAGTCCCCTACTTACGCTTATAAGTATAGTTCCCCCAGTCCTAGCCCTACTTATAACTACCCATGAACCTCCAAGTGCAGCACCAACCTCGGGATCCAAAAACCTACTGTTCTAAGGCTTATACCATCTTAGTAGGGGGTCATAACCTACTACGGTTGATGATATAAATCCTGCATGACTCAAAATAAGGAATATACCATACTTCCCATATATTCCTTAGTATGGGTAATGCAGGATTTATATCATCAACCGTAGTTTGTAGGGTTTGGGGATGTAGGAACTTCTGAAGAGAACGCTCGTCTTCGAAAGAGCCTTAATTGGAAACAGCCCTATGCGTGAGTCTTCAAGAAGAAGCTACTTGTAAGCTTAGTCTTAGAGTGAACTTTACTTGGCCCCTAGACTTGTTTAGCGTTTAGGGGTTTAGGGTTTAGGGTTTAGGGGTTTAGTGTTTAGGTTTTACGGTTCAACCTCCATATCCCATGTTGCTCACGCTACATTTCAACCCGACAGCGCATCCCCACGCAAACCCTGAAACTTACCTTTGGTTTGTAGGGAATGGTGGAATGGGGTACAATTCTATCTACTACAACTACCATTCTTCCAGTACTAACCAGAGGTAAGGAAACCTAAATCCAAAGGAACAGCCTACTTGGAGGTTCATGGGTAGCTATAAGTAGGGTTCTAATTAGGGTAACTAAGCTTATAACCTCAATGAGGCCCACTTATAACTACCCCTGAACCTCCAAGTACGCGTGCACCCTCAAGTAGACTCCTGGCCAGAAGACCCTAAGCACAACACCTTCGCGCTGTGCACTCTGACACCCTGGACACTGCCTTCTAAACACTAATACAGGGGCCTGACTAGTTTGAAAAAGGATTCCGGGCATATTGTAGTATAGCTATGTTAAGGAACCGAAACAAACACTCTTGGAAGGTGTTTCCACCCGTACATTACCCAGATCTTCCATATTGTTGGTTAAGGAGAGGCCAACGGCACTGCACACGAAAAATCACTGCAGAAGCCCAAAAGCCGAACAACCCAGTAGCCTCAATCCTTAAGAGCAATATCACGGGAATCCCAGCACTATTTGGCCTTACTCCGGTTTCCAACTTTATGGGGTTTTATTGTGAGGGGAGCTTACTATAGAACCCTAAGTACCCTTTACAGGGACCTTTTAAAGGGAACTCCAGAAAGTTGGAATATGGTTTCATGGTAGGATACCGCATAATTTACCACAAAGGGTTTAGGATAATCATATTCCAACTTTCTGGCTTTTACTGTACTTGAACGATCATGGGACTTAGTAAGTGGGTTATAATTGGGGTTATAAGTCCCCTAAGCGGGGTTATCCTAACCTTTCTGGCTTTTACCTTAAAGGAACCCTTGAAGCCCCCCCAGGTTTGGGTCTCCCCACCAGGAAGGGGAGCTTGATGCCCAGAGTCTTCGAGGGATCCGCCGGGCAGGTGATGTAAGTCGTGCTCACGTTCGTGCCCATGATCTCCTTAGGCTTTATAGGGTGTAGGGTTAAGGGTTTCGGCTTTTCGGGTTTTGGGTTTAGGGTTTAGGCGTTTAGGGTTTAGGCTTTAGGAGTTACCGTTCAGGGTTCAGGATTTAAGGTTTAGGGCTTGTGTAGGGGTTTCCTCATCCACGACTCACTTCTACAGCAATTTAGAATTCCTTTACCCGCCCGAAACTCTGAAGGGCCTGTACCTAACCCTATGCTTGGAGGGTCGGGGGACTTAGTAAGGTAGGATTCCCTAAAGGGATCCTTAAAGGGATCTACAAGAGGTCTATAATGGAGGGTCGGGGGGCTTAGTAAGTAGTTAGTTTGTAGAGTTATAGGTACCTCAACCCCAACTAGGATCCCACTTAGGGCACTTATAACTCTACTCATTACGTACTAAGTCCTCCCACCCTCAGAGAAATGCCCGTCCCCCCGCAAGCCACTATATGGGCCACAAGCCTTGGACCTTAAGGCCTTCAGCAAATAAGAGCTTTTGGGGTACTTGCAGGACTAGGGAACCGCTCTTTAATCTTGCTCGAAACCCCCTGTACATAGTTGTCCAGTAAAAATGCGAGAAGGGAACCAAAGATTAACCTGTCGGAGCTTATAGGGATTATAATTAATAACCCAAGAAGTTAAAGCCTACTACTATTTGACGACAAGACCAGGCTTTTGTCCCGAGCTCCATAGCACGCAGACGTTTGCCGACCTGCCTATTCTGTGTTCGGCCTGCGCCCTATGAGCCCTAATCCTTTGTGTGGAATCCTAGACCCTAGATCCCAATACCGGGTGCCAAGCCCTAACTCTTTGATCCTGAGAACGATAGCAAGCGTTAATCCCTTACATAATCCTAAATCACTCTAAGTTCGGCGCCCCCGCTAGCCTCGGTAAGACACCCCATACAGTTGTACTGAAAGCGGGTTTAAAGGGAATAGAGAGGAAGATCAAAACAAGCATCAATATCCCTAGTGGTCAATGCTGCTGATGGAAAATACGCTGCATTATCTGAAGCACCCTGCACTATCGGGGTTACCTGTCGCCCCGGACACTACACAATAGTAGGTTATGACCCGTTAACTAGAGGCACTGAAAACAGTATCCACAGGCACAATGTCTTTCTTTTCGTGGGTAATGCAGGATTCAGCGTAAAGCGGCATTAATTAATGGGCGAGGCTTTGCCAAAGCTTAACCCTGCGCTGAAACCCTAAACCCTGAAGCCGAGACCCTGAACCCAAAACTGAAACCCTAAACCCCTGGAGAGCCGAAATTCCTACATAAGCCCTAGTCGCTTACACCTCTAAACCGTTAAACCCTGCCTTCGTAATTAGAATATAGGGTTTTGGGAGCCCATTATACTTTAATTACACTAAGGAGCCCCAAATATAGCATAGGTAATTTTTAGGGCCCCTATAGTATAGGACCCTACTATAGATCTCTTATAGACCCCTTTGAGGAACCCTTTACAGGAACCCTACAATAATTCTTCAGGCCTCTATGTCACCCGAATTCAGTCACCAGTCAACCGAGCCCACGCCTTCAATGCTTGCTGACCCAGAAATCTCGACAGAACCCAGTCTAGGGTTTACCTTAACCCACAAATAGCCTACCTTTTGTAAGGGCTTCTATAAGAAAATCAAAAAGGAAGGTTTTCCAGGTAAGGTTTGGGGTTATTTGGAGGGACCTTTTTCGAAGGATCCTACAATTTAGGGTAATTACTATATTAGGGTTTAGGGGACCGAGAGATCTCGACATCACCCAAAAGTGAAAAAGTGAAAGACGGATTGTGAAACAGGGTTGCGCAAGGGCGCCTATGGAGTTTACAGGGTGTAACAGAGCCTTTTAGAGTTCATATCGTTGTACACGGTTCTGTGGTGCTTTATCGTGCTGTATGAGGGTGCACGCTAGAGGGTTGTCTACGGGTGTATACGGTTTCGTCAAGTCATGCCACAGGCTTCTCTAAACATCCTGAACCCACAGTTCCTCAATCCTTGTTATACATATATACCCTTCAAGGGATCCTGGAATGAACCGTAAAGCGTCAAAACTCTAAGCCGCGGTTCCAGGACGCTCGACTGGATGTCGGAATCTGTGAGACGCTTGATGTGGCCATTGCGCACCTGGCACGTGTTTCGGGAAGGGTTGTAGTGCTTTGAATTTAGTGTTTGAAGGTACTTGGAGGGGCAGGGGACTTAGTAAGTAGGCTATAAATAGGGTCATAATTGGTGTAGCTCCATTTAGTGTACTTATAACTTATAACTCTACTTATAACCTACACACTAAGTCCCCTTCCCCTTCAAGTAGACCCTAAACCCTAAACTCCATATAGATCCCTTTAAGGAACCCTATAGATCCCTTTAAGGAGCCAATTAAGAGCGCTTACTAAGTCCCCTGCCCCTCCAAGTAGCCTGAAGATCGAACCAAAGTAGAGTGTGTACAAATAGGCGTTTGAATCGTATCTGAAAGCTTTCAAAACAGCATACAATCACAAACAACTGCGATGGTTCGGAATTGTCGATCGTTTCGGGCTTAAGGGCAAAGCAAGAACATGGCAGCAACCGCAATACTAGACTAGGCCCCTGCAAGGAGATTGTAAGGCCTAGGTTGAACTCTTGCATAACCCTTGCAAGACCCTTGGGAAACCCTTAAGCAAGCCACAAAACCCAACACCCTCAACCTGCAGCCCTAAAACCCTGACGAAAAACACAAACAATAGGCATCAGGAACCCAGAGCCCCCCGTACACCCCATCCAAGGATGCACTTCATATCATTGGGTGTAGGGTTTAGGGCTTCAGGCACAGGGTTTGGATTTTGGGGTTCAGGGCTTCGGGCCGAGGGGTATTGGATTCGAGCAGCGCTCGATACAGCTTTCGTATCGGTGTTTTGTCAGGTTCAGCATGCTATTAGCCATTGCCACTGCTTGCACCGTTTCCCTGCTGCAACGGTGACTTCTTGGCTCCCGCCATAGTAAACGGTCGAGACTTGCTTGGTCTCGCCTGGCGACACCGCCACGAGGCGCTTTGCCAGCTCGGTCATGACCACCAGGTTGTCTCGGTCGGCGCCATGTCGACTCCCCATGGTGCCAAGCCGAACAAGAGAGGGAAGCGCTGCGAGTGGTTCAAAGTCTAATTCTCTGCAGTGCATGGTTTTCAGCAGCTGACTTTGCTGTGCCAGCTGTTACCACACGCACTCTAAGCCTCTAAGTCCCTAAGGCTCCATGTACCCTTATAGTAGATACTTAGGCCGTAAAGTACCTATATAGGGACTACTTTGGGGCTTAAGTATCTACTATAAGGGTACATGGCCCCTCTGGGAGTTTCGGAGCCTTGAAATGATTGGGAGCATGGAGCTGCACTGCGTGGGAACCCGGAAGTATCCAAACACGGCAGTCTGAAGATGGCTCCATGCATGAGGCGATCCATAATTCCACTCTATACACACTTTAAAGATATCACGTTGTACTCGTACAAAAAATATTACGTGCACGTGGCGTTCCGTTACACGTGCATTTATGACGCATGTAACGCATGAAAAACCCTGCCTAGCCTGGTAATTACTAACTTACCGAAGTCCCCGGTGTGCTTATCGATTGACCCTCTGGCTTTGGGTCAGGGTTTACGGAACAGCCTTACTTTCTTGTTTCCTGCGCACCTGCTGGCGACAATAAGCACTGCCGAAAGGTACCGAATCCTCGGTACTTGGAAGGGCAGGGGACTTAGTAAGTAGGTTATAAGTAGAGTTATAGGTACACTAAATGGAGTTACCCAATTATAACCCTACTTATAACCTACTTACTCAGTCCCCTGCCCCTTCAAGTACAACTCATCAAAGCTTGAAAACACCACCCACCCAGGCTTCTCGTCACGGCTCTGACTGAACCTAAAACCCGGAATGCTACATCTCAAGACCAAGTGCAGTGTCAAGTCCTGCCCGAACCCCTAAACCCAAAGCACCTAAACCCTCAAACCCCGAAACCGTGACCCCCAAATCCCAGACCTGTCGACTTCGCTAGTCTACTGTAGGGATCCTAACAGTTAGAATAGTGGTTGCGTTTAAGGGTTCCGTTAAACGGGCCTGCAAGGAGTACCGGACGGGGTATTATGGGGGTTTAGTAGAGGGGCCTTAATCAGTAGAATTGGGTTTGGGATGTATGAAAGCATAGCTATTATAAGGAATCCTAAGGAATACTTATAACTTCATACCCCCTGTCATCCGTCATACAAAAATCTTCCCTGGGTGGAACCCTCTGTCATCCATGGCTCATGCACAGACCTTGCCTGTGCGTAAGATTATACTAGGGGCCCAAAAGTCAAAGCATTAGATAGTACCCCAAGGGTCCAAGTACCTAATAGTCATACACTCTCCGGACTCCAAAATCCTAACCTACATAACTACTATCCTAAAACCGAGAATCTGACTATTGGGTCCTTTGGACCCTTAAAAATATCCTCATGCCCTTAAGCCTTAAGATAAAGTATAGAGATTTTGATACTAATCCGCCTAAACCCATGTTCCAACTTTCTGGGATTCGCTCTAGGGTTTAGGCCCTCGGCCTAAACTACGAGGTCGATTGACTAAGTCCGACAAGCGTCCACGCAGACCCTTGCCATAACCCGGTACTCAATAAAAACCCGAGAAAACCTCACCTGACCCTCATGTAGCGGCCCTGTTCATTAGATTCGGGATGTGGCGAGTGTTTTACAATGCACAGTTACATAGGCAGGGACTCAAGGTTTTACCACTACCAATTGTTCAGACTCTCTGTAAAGCAGCAGAGCTGGCACCTTCTTGTCCCAGATCTGCAGTGGCTTCGAGCCAATTGAGTAGAGGATGGACAGGAAGCCGGACTGATAGGTGTTTTTGAACCTCATTGATTGCTTTTTTGAGGTTTGGGGTCTTGAGGGCTTATGGCTTCTCTTGGACTTGTAAATAGCATTCCCGTTCCTCCTACTAGTAAAAATACCACTATTATTGCCGTAACGTTAGCAGGGCTCCAGGGCAGGGATTAGAGGGCTATCGTTGGTTCCTTTCGAGGGGTCCTTGTAGTAAGGATCTAACCGGTCAAGGTCCACAATGCCGTAGCTAGACTACTTCGATTAGGTGTGGGGGGCGGAGGGGGGGGTACATGATACCATGTGTACATCAGGGAACCCCAAGCAACACTCCGGCTACAACACTCCTACTATGTAGAAGCCAGAAACTTGGAACATAGCTTGGGAGGATTAGTGCTAGGATCCCTTATACATTACCTTAAGGGCATGAGGATAATGATGTTCCAACTTTCTGGTTTCTACTATATGTAGCCATACCAATTAGCCACGCAAGCCTATTTTTCATGTATGCGGAAACCATAACAAACCTTTCTAGCACAGTGTTGTTTCTTGGCCTTTTAGGTCTTGGCATCCCCTGTCTTAAATGAATAAAGGAAGCAGAAATTCAAGTGCAGCCCTAAACCATACTTGGAGGATCATGGGACTTAGTAAGTAAGGTTATAGGTACCTTAATTGGGGTTATAAGTACCTTAAGTGGGGTTATAAGTATAGCCACCCTAATTACAACCCTAGTTACTAAGTCCCATGATCCGTTATGTAAACCCTCCATGCCGGTTTTCAGGTACCAGCGTAAATAAAACTGTTGTGGGCACTCTGCTTGGAGTGGCAGGGGACTTAGTAAGTAGGTTATAAGTAGGGGTATAATTGGGGTTAGGAGTACTTATAACATCTTATAACTCTACTTATAACCCACTTACTTAGTCCCCTGCCCCTCCAAGTGGCCCATCATATCGGGGCCTCAACAATTGGAACAGGGTCTTGTTGTACAGTCTGGTATAGATGTAGAAGGCACCACCAGGTAACACTGCTTCTGACTTTTCCGACCATGTCATAAACCCGAGAAAGAAATCCTATGGAACCCGTATCTTACTAAACATCTTGCGAAATCTCTTCCCTCTCCCCTAAACCACAACCCCAAGCCCTGAATAACTCCCTAGACCCCAAACCCTAACAAAATGTAAATCCTTACCCCTAAACCTAAATCCTGAACCCTAAATGAACCTGAACCCTAACCCCTAAACCTAGACCCTAAACCCTGAATAAAGCAAACCCCGAGCCCCAAAACCTAGACCCTAAACCACTAAACCAACCTAAACCCTAACCCCTAAACCTAGACCCAACACCCTAAACCCAAGTAGATCTCTTAAAAGGAACCCTTGAAAGGAACCCTACACCCCTAACTCTCCCACTCAGAGATCCCAGTATCCCGTAAAAAGAAATATACCTTAAAGAAAAGGGGCCTTAACATTATGGTTTAAGGTATATTCCTTAATTAAGGGATATTGGGATCTCTGGAACACTAAACCCCATAAACCCTATAGATCCCTTAACAGAGCCCTTAAAAATTCCTTTAAAGGAGCCCTAAACCCTTAACTCCTACCCTCCCCAAAACACTGCCTAAACCCTTAACTCCTACCCTCCCAACATCCAAACCCTTCCTTTTGGGGCCCTGGCATTCCTAGAGGAGAAGAAGGTCGCAGGGCCGTGAAATCTTCGGGCTCCGCTTGGGAAGAAGCAGCTGCGGAGGTCTCTGCCTACCGTTGGTGTTCTACATCCTGAAAGTTCCTTTAAAGAAATCCATAAGGGTACCTTTGAGGGGCTCCATTAAGGGATCTGTAGGGGTTTTAGGGTTTATGGCTTATGGCATAGATCATTTCCTTTTGGGAGGTTTAGGGGTTTAGGGCTTCAGGGGTGTAGGGAGCCAGCCCCCTAGGCCCTCAAGCCTAAATCCTCACCCCTACTTAAAGGGTCATGCGACTTAGTCACTAGGCTTATATAAATAATGTAACTATACTAGTTAGGGTACTTATAACCTTACCTACTAAGTCCCCTGATCCTCCAAGTAACACGCTAGCACCTAGCACCCTAGCTCGTAAGCCCCTGTGGTAGAAGCCCAAAAGTTGGAAACCCTTAAGAGTAACGTATAGGTAATCCCAGCACTGTTTGACCTCAAACCCAATTTCCAACTTTATGGGGTTTACTGTAAACTACTTGGTTCAGAGTCCAGGGCTTTAGGGGTTTGGGGTTTAGGGGGGTATCCTGGGAAACTCAAGGGTAACCTTTTGGAGTATATTGGGGTTACATAAGGATTGTAGTGCCCAAGACAGGTTAAAGGTTACCTACTCTACTACGAGAATATCAAGGAAGCCAAAGGGTCTTTGGGTATATGATGGTATCTGGATGGTTGTCAAAATCAGGGTCCCCTTGGGGGTCCTTTTTTTCACACCGCACCTATTATCTTGGGTACCCGAAAGCGACCATAATTTTGACAACCACCCGTATGATGGTAGATATATTCGTAGTTGTCAGAAGGAAACCATATTGAGGACTTAGTTCCATTATGAAAATTGTGGGAGGATGACGGGTCGGGGTCGTAGGTGTAGGGTCCCTATAAAAGGCTCTCTTGCAGCAAAAACCAATAAAGCGGGTTATATGGGAATACCGTTACTATTTACTTTGCTCAAGCCGAAATCCTAAACCTTAACCCCGAAGCCCTCAAGCCGCAAGCCTGAATCCTCACCCCTAAACGCCCTGAACCCTGAACCCTTAGACTTACACCCAAAACTCCCCAGCACTCTAACACCCTGCACTCCTCACCCACAACGTACACCCAAACCCGAGGCCCCTCAACCCTAAACCCTAAAACCTTGAAGCCCTAAACCCCAAACCCCCCTAAACCCGTAACCCTAAACCCTAAACCCGAAGTCCCAGAGTGCAAGGAAGTCTCCATGCCCTGACTGTGCCCAGACTGCGAAAGGATTACGCACCACTCCCAGACCTTCGAGGCCTAAACCCCACTTGGAGGGTCGGGGGACTTAGTAACTGGTTATTTTAAGGACTTATAAGTACCCTAACCCCAATTAGGGTCCCTTTTAGGGTACTTATAAGTCTACTTACTACCTACTTACTAAGTCCCCCGACCCTCCAAGCAGTTGTGAAGGGTTTTGGTTTACAGTTAAAGCTCTTACCCAAAGGCTCCATGTACGCATATAGTAGATACTTAGGCCTTCAAGTACCTATATAGAG